GATAGATAGATAGATAGATAGATAGATAGATAGATAGATAGATAGATAGATAGATAGATAGATAGATAGAAATTTTCCAAAAAATGAATGGAAGTCAATGGAAAGTCCCCACAAGGATAGGGAGACATAATAGGTGTTTGTGTGTATGTTTGTAATCTGTTTGCTAATGAAAATTGGCCCTTTTGACAAACAATAAACAAAAAAGACACTTCAAAGAGAAATTAAAAACGTTTTTATTTATACAAAGTAATGCAGTAAAAAAATTGCATAAATCATAGCATAAATATTACCCCTTTTAAAATAACTGTCCTAATTTAAGATAGGTCAACATGATGCTAGTCTCACAATTCCTAAAAACGGGACTCACCTGAGGGCACTGCGTGTCGTGTTCAGAGAGTATTCTTGGCTCTGATTACACCATGAAGACAAAAGATCGTATCAAACTACTCAGATATTAGAGTTCTAAAAACTAAAAATCAGGATGGATACAAAAAGATTTCAAAGTTCCTACACATCCCCAGTAGGTCTGTTCGATCCATCATCAAGGAAGTGAAGGAACATGTAACAGAGGAGATCGTCTTCACTTGTCTGAGTTCCTCACCGGTCTGAGCTGTATGGGACAGTGACAAAGAGAAAGCCACTCTTATAGAAAACATTAATAAATCTGGACTGGAGTTTGACAAACAGCATCTTGAAGGCTTCATGTTSAAGTGGAAGAAAGTACTGTGCTTGTTGGCCATCAAACAAGATGCCCTATTTGGTGGAAACCAAATACTACACATCACCGCAAACTCCCCGAAGCATGGTGGCAGCAGCGTCATGATGTGGGGGTGCTTTTTGGAAGGCTTTTAAAGAGAGGGAGTGAAACAAATGCCACAAAATATAAGAACTGATTTAATGATATGATTTAATGCTGTCTACAAAATAAATACAGCTTATAAAAAGATTTATTTTCTAGCAACATTATGATGCAAAACATACGATGAAAACTACACAGGAAGTAGACAGCAGAGGGAATGTTCTTAAGCAGTTGAGTTACAGAACATGAAATCTATAAAACAAACAATTAAGGAACACAGAAGTGAAGCGACCATGTGAACAGCAGACAAACAAAACAGTTTTTCACATTTTAAGTTACTCCTCAGACATTATTACACAGAACTGATTACATTATAACACATCTGTCAGCAGACTTCAGTTCTCTTATAGCCTTTGAGTAAAATGTGCTCCTAGTTCTTGTGGTGTGGGTTTTTAGAGTCCTAAAGCTCCTCCCAGAGGACAACAGTGTGAACAGCTGGTGTGAAGAGTCTCATAGCAGAGGGACCGTATTCTGTCCTGAGGGGTCCTGAGGCAGGGTCTTCCTGTCAGCCGACACCACATGCTCGAAGTAAGGTTATTTTAAATACAAATGGTTATGAAATTTAGTTTTATCTAGGTGGAGACGTGTTATTAGCTTGACCTTAAGGTTTTTTTTCATATAGCCTACCCATCCCCTGCTTTCATTATAGATCCACCCTCAGAAGACTCAGTTTCCTCTCCTCAGGCAAGGTCTTCTACTTTCAGTAGCTCATCTGCTTTAAGGATGGACATGTTGTGAGTTCAGAGAGGGTTTTCGACAGACCATGGTTGGAACAAGTGGCTGTTTGAGCTACTTTTACCTCTGCCAGTTCACCTCAACAAGACCCTTTAGTTCAGACAACCTCTACTTCCTGGATAGTTTCTTCTTTCTTTTTTATGACTTTCTCTGTGAACCTTAGAGGTGGTTATGAGTAAAAATGACAGTAGATCAGCAGTTTCTGAAATACTTGGACCAGCCTGTCTGACACCAACACTCTTTCTTCGACATTCTGTTTGATGTGAACATGTCTAGATGACTAAATGCATTGAGTTGCTGTCATATGATTGGCTGATCAGTTATCTTTGTTAACAAGAAACTGAACTATTAAWAAATTGGCTGGAGTGTAAGCCCCTTTTTCTATRGTGTAGTGTCGGAACGGTTGGTGTAGGTACGGTTTGGAACGGGTYGAACCAGTTGGTTTTCCACTGATGTTCCAGTCCGGTTCCAATGGATGTGTTTTGGGTGGTTGGTGGAGGTGGTTTTTAGGTATTTTGAAAAAAAWTTAATGGGCAAGATGAGAGATGGAAGCACATTTGATGAATACCTTTTGAAATTTTAAAAATTTGCAAAGATTTAGCCAATCAGTGATGAACAGTGTTCTGACGTCGCATTTTGGTGCCAGCTGGGGCCGCTTGGAACCACAATGAAGTAGGTACTAAAAAAAGTGCCGGTTCAATGGATCTGGCCTAATGGAAATGGCTTGGAACCATACCGAACGTACCAACACTACACTAAGTGGCACTAGTGGAAAAGGGGCACTGAACGTCACAAAACAAGAAAACATTAATTTTCATACCTTGAACTGTGCTGACTCATTAGAAAATCATCATCATCATCATCATCATCATCATCATCATCATCATCATCATCATCATCATCTGTCAGGTGGTCTGTCCTTCAGGTGCTCTATATTTTATAGGATAGATATCATGTCGTGTGAAAACCACTCTTATTGTTTGTCCTGGCAGTCGATGCTGAGTGCGTTTACTGAGCCAGTACACACACACACACACACACACACACACACACAC